GAACCCGGGCCGCCTGGGTGAAAACCAGGAATCCTAACCGCTAGACCATATGGGACACGGTAGTTCACCCATATGTTTGGTTTGACCAATATAGGTTATTATATAGATATTTGGTATTTTATTATTGCTTAAACACGGATGATCTGGCAGAATTTGAGTTTGGTTGGTTTCACAAGACTCTTGCACTGTCTCCATCCTGTAGTCTACTACTATCACGTTTAGTCAGTGCTATTTGTATTTGTAAGTATGTCATGGTAATTATTATAGACTTATGATGAATTAATATATTGATCACATTAAAGAGCAATCATAAATTAATTTACTAATTTTGCATTTTGAATTACATTTCAATAAAATTTAAAGTTGAAAAAAGATAATTAAATTGGTAATTGAATAATCAGATATCCTTAATTGTGTCTGTTTAAGATTAATGAATCATTTAATTTTGAAAAAGAATTGCAAAATAGATTTTTAAAAAGCATTTGTTTTGGATTTTCCCTTTAATTATGCCATCCATCTCTGGCCAGTTCGATCAATCAAGTTATGGTATCTTTGTTATGGTAACTGATTATGAATGAATACTGCAACAGTTGGAGGAGAGGATAGTGGAGTAAATGGATTACAGAAGATCATTATTGTACAGCTTTTTATGTGTACAACATCTGTTGGATTCAGTTGTGGATAAATGAAAGTTAAACTGTACAATCACTGAGAGAGAAACAGCAAAGAGGAAGCTGCATTACCATTCAAAGGCACATGCAGGTGCTGTTTGACTGTGGGTAGTCCAAATCGGCATAAATCACCTTGTAAATAGCTATATTTTACTGTATTTACTGTATTTCACTCAAACTTTTTCTCCACTGCAACAGGCATTTTGACTTGTCATAAAAGATCTGTCTTTTATGACAAGTCAAGAGTGTAATTAATTGCATTAATGAGCCATTAAATGAGGGGTTTTCTCTACAACAGGTCAAAATACCTTCTGTAAATACTTATATTATGCCCCATCCTGTCATATAAATAGTATTAACAGGTCTGCGATGCATTGGAAAGAAATACTCTATAAAGGTCTCTCAAAGAGCCTCTTTCAGAGAGGGAAGAACACAAACATATACACTACCAGTGATGTATAGTTTGTGTGTAATATGGTAAGCATCACACAAACACAAAGAGGAAGTAGCGGCTTGTTTGCACCCCTCCGTATTAACACAGAGCATTATTTGCATAAAGAGGAAGCCACAAACAAGTGTGCTTGTGGGATGGAGGTGGGATGGGGGAGTACATAATATCATATCAGGGACAGATCAGGTTTATGCTCTGTATCTCGCTGTAAAAGGCACACTTCTGGACAGTGAAAGAGAAGCTCTGTCTCCCTCAGCCTCTCCATCCACCTGCCACTGTACAGCCTGAGAGATCATGGACATCGTGGTGGAAAACATCTACCTTCTGGTCATCGTCACCCTCATCAGCGCACTTCAGAACGGTGAGAAAAAGCAAGAAGCCTCTTCTGTTGAAAATAGGAGTCAATCGTAGTATTAGAAATCTGAATGTAGTAGTTAAAACTGATGTTGTGGTGACATTAACGGTGTCTGTGTTTTAAGCATTCTTTGCCCTGAAGGTAGAGAAGGAATGCAACACTCAAAATGTCAAATCATCTGATTTCGAACGGGTTTCTTGTGCCAAGTAAGTGCCCCTTTTCAATTACTCACTTTCTCTGTGCCAGTGAAACACATGATGGATTTGTGTTAATTTTGTTTCACTCATAAACTTTCCATTTAGTTAGTTTTCCTCAACATTTTACTCCCATTGAGAGGCTGCCCTCATTTGCCTGAGCACTCCCTGATAGGGTTACAAACTGGTACAGAGCTCATTTGAATGCTTGCTGCGAAAACGACAACAGATGTTAGGAAAACATTTATTTTTCCACCCTCTCAACAAGGATACATTTATAACTATTTCAACATAAACACAAACATTCTCATGTTTCTCAAATGTCAGAATTTGCTGTCTTTTACTGTTTTCTACCATTGTAAATTAAATATAATTGGGTTTTAGATTTTTTACTTTTTTTCTTCAGAGTTTTATAAATCACACAGTGAATTGGTAAAAATAGTTGAAAATAATCAAGTTGCAGCACCGAGATGATAGTGCTTCATTCTTAGAAGTCTTAGTCTTAGTCGCCCTATTTGTCCATAAGCAACAATTCACTTCCTGTTTTTAGAAGGAAATATCTGAGCCACATCCTGTCTTGTAGGTAATGTTGAGGATTACAAAATGAATCACGTTAGCCTGTAAAATGTGATGCAATGCTTAGTGACAGTTAAAATATGACCCGTCTTTTTTATTACACTTTATAGAATTCCAGTTTAAAGGTTAGTGTGGACATGAGTTATGAGGAGTTTGAACAAAAACTTAATTTTCTTTCTCAGATTGTTTACTTTCTAAAGAGGTAAATATAGGTAAATATTACACAAGAAAATTGCCCCAAAAAAAGAAAGAAAATTGTGTGACACGTAGGGTTGAGAACTACTATTCTGGTGTTTTCTGGATAACTCTCCTGAGGTGCGCGAGACTGGAAAAGCTTTGAGAGACATGGTTCTGTGCAACACACTGTACTGATTATTGCAATTTATTGCAACAGCCAGTGCGTGCTCACTCGGAGTGTGGGCTCAGTTTTTCCTGGCTTCCCATTTCAACCTTGTTCCACCAACACTCAGAAAGCCACAGTGGGTTTTGTAGCTCATGCACTGTTTCATCCACAGAATCTTTTTACTTTTCACAGCCACTTCTGCTCTGCTCAGTTTAATTTCCTAACAGCCATAAAACATGGTCTTTGTATTAGCCATCACACTGACGGTAACAGATTGCTTCATAGTGTGTCATTGCAGGTGACTTCCTTGAAGTGTGCTAACAACACGTTTTTATGCTTCTTCCAGTCGTAACTGTATGGATGCTTATCCCACTTTCCTGGCAGTGATGTGGTGTGCCGGTGTGTGTCTCAGTCAAGGTAATCATTAATCAGTTTCTGTGCCAGAACACACCCAAAGTAATTACAACTTAGACCAAAGAAATTCAAGAGTACTTCAAGAGTACCTTGTTCTATAACGTAGAACGTAGAACTGTTCGGGAAACAGAATAATGCACAATAAAGCACATAAGCAGCATATGGCCAAAGGTATAAAGGAATGATTTTTAAACCTCTCCATTCCAAAGTGTTGAAATATTGAATTTATTGATATATGATTTTAGATTAAATAATAAATTGTATTTTATTTGCAACATATTTACGCTTTAAAGCCAAACTTGCTTCAAGAATATTAACTTATATACTATAATTTATCAGCAGGAGCCCTTTAGGTGTATGTAAACAATTGCTTACTCCACTTATTGTTTCCAGCTTTAACAAGAGACTTTTCTGTTTGCAAAAGAAGAGAGCTGTTCTGGTATATGGTGACCATGTTTTAACACATTTAAATAGCATATACATTTTTTTTTTACAGGAAGTCTTCTTAAGATAAATATACACACAAAATGTTTACTACATTGCCATATGATAGATGCACACTAACACTAACAATATTATTATATGCTGCATCATTTAGACACAAAGAAACAATAACCATATACCTTTGGCCATATAGTGTGTTATGGAACCACATAGAGGTTGTACTCTATTAATTGTCTTTTTCTCTCATCTGGTTAGCTCCTGCTGCCTTTGCTGGGATCATCTATGTTGTTGTCAGGCAGAAGTACTTTGTTGGATACATGGGGCAGACCTCTCAAAGGTAAACAAACACAAGCGACCTATAGTATATTCTCTGTAGGCATTCATTTAATACTTTTTAAATTTTCATTTATAGCACCCCCGGCTACCTGTTTGGAAAACGCATCATCTTCTTCCTGTTCCTGATGTGCATCGTGGGCATCTTCAACTACCTGCTGATGCACCACTATGGCAGCAATTACAAAGAATACGTAGAAACCATCACCAGTGCTGCAACTGCTCTTCTCCTCATCCCTTAGTCCCTCAGTGTGTGTGTTCCACATCATGGCAGCAACACGTCTGCATTTATCTGTTAACTCATGGGATATGTATGAAAATGAATTAAAACTCATAGACATTGTTGTAAAAGAGAATAAAAAATAAAAGCTTCTCATAAACAAATGCTGACTCCTATAAAATAATTAGTCAAAAATATGTTTCTTTCTTGTTCCCACAGCTGGATGTTTGATTTTTTTTTAATGAAGTACGAGGAGTAGAAGCCTTTTTTAGGATTTTAATGTGGAAATGATACTTTTTTGCAGTAAAAAAAAACACCTCCACCTCCAAGGGCGAAGAAGAAACTACGGGCCGTGAAACTCGCAAAAAATGCAAACAGCCCTCTCTAGAGCCAGTGTTTGGTTTACCCCTTCTGGGCTACAGTAGAAAATGGAGGTTCAACATGGTGGCCTCCGTGGAAGGCGTCCCACGGCATCTGTAGATAAAAACGTCTCATTCTAAAGTAACGAAAACACAACTATTTTTATTTTAGGTGATTAAACTAACACATGAATATTATATTCAATTTC